GCTCAAGCTGGGCAGTAGCCAAGGACAACATGGCCAGGTTCCCAGGGGTAGCCACAACAGGAAACTGGGATTGCCAGATTGCCCCACCCCCAGCAGCTTCATCCCTTGGAAGGCATCTGCCTGTAGCTTCTGATCTCCCACAGTCTGCCTCTCCCAAGGGGACAGTTAGGTGCCCCTTCCTCAACCTCTCCAGCTCTTAATCATCTTGATGAAACAAGGCTCCCCCATTCAGGGCTGGGTAGGGACCCCCATAATTTAGGCCTGAGCAGACAGGCTTCTTTTCTCCAAACTGCACTCTCTGAATATAAGCAAGACAGAAGAAAAGCAGTTTGGCTAACGTTTCATGTATACAGGCTCCTCCTTTTAGCTCCTACAACCCGCTGCTAGGAGCTAAAAGGACACATTCATTTGTTTTTTTTTTTTTTTTGAGACAGAGCCTCAAGCTGTCCCCCTGGGTAGAGTGCCGTGGCATCACAGCTCACAGCAACCTCCAACTCCTGGGCTCAAGCGAGTCTCCTGCCTCCGCCTCCCAAGTAGCTGGGACCACAGGCGCCCGCCACAATGCCTGGCTATTTTTTTTTGTTGTTGTTGCAGCCGTCATTGTTGTTTGGCAGGCCCAGGTTGGATTTGAACCTGCCACCTTAGGTGTATGTGGCTGGCGCCTTAGCCACTTGAGCCATAGGCGCTGAGCCGACACATTCATTTGTTAATATACATATTCACAGACAGGCCGGTGCCTGTGGCTCAGTGGGTAGGGCACCAGCCCCATATACTGAGGGTGGTGGGTTCAAACCCGGCCTCCGCCAAACTGCAACAAAAAATAACCAGGCTTTGTGGTGGGTGCCTGTAGTCCCAGCTACTCAGGAGGCTGATGCAAGAGAACTGCCTAAGCCTAGGAGTTGGAGGTTGCTGTGAGCTGTGATGCCACAGGACTCTATCAAGGGCGAGAAAGTGAGACTTTTGTTTCTAAAAAAAAAAAAATACATATTCACTAATCAACAGGGAGAAATGTTTTCCTCCTGCCAGCTCTTAGCCAAGTGTGAGTTTACTTCCAGGACTTCCCTGAACTCTAGACAAAAGACCCACAAGGGATTCCGACTTGGTTCTCCCACCTCTACTGGCACAGTTCTGGGAGTAGGGGTTCATTCCTTCTGTATTCCTTTCTGTCTAATGAATCATGTCCTATCACTGATTTGTGTGGTCTGTGGATTCATTCTTTGAATTTCCAAGATCAAGGACCTCTTGCAAAAAGAAATTTTGCTAACATCGAGACCTGGAAATTTCTCCTAAATGTATTTATTTATTTATTTAGACAGAGTCTCACTCTGTGACCCTTGGTAGAGTGCCGTGGCGTCACAGCTCATAGCAACCTCCAACTCTTGGGCTTAAGTGATTCTCTTGCCTCAGCCTCCCAAGTAACTGGGACTACAGGCACCTGCCACAACGCCTGGCTGTTTTTTTTTGGTAGAGACGGGGTCTCACTCTGGCTTTGGCTGGTCTTAAACCTCCGAACTCAGGGTAATCCACCTGCCTTGGGCTCCCAGAGTACTAGGATTACAGGCGTGAGTCACCACGCCCAGCCTCTCCTAATTTTATTTTGCTTTTTGTAACCCAATTTGCTCTTCCTTGCTTTGTCCTCAATCAAGCTGAAGAACTCCAAAACACTCCATGATAACCTCCATTCTACCCTCTAGGCCCCTTACCAGACACAGCGCACTGCTCTGCCTCCTCAGGAATATTCCTCCCTCCCTTCCTGCTCCTCCTTCATCTGCTTCCTACTAGTCAAGAGGACCATATCCTACAAGAGGTTTTTAGCCTTTTTTGAACCACAACCCCTTTAGTAGTCTGGCAATGTCTAATGACCCCTCCTCAGAATATTTACAAATGTATAAAATCCATAAGAAATTTTACCAAGTTATAAAAATGCTAAAATAATCAGATGTATGATATAATAATATGCTTTTTTATTAATGCACTAAGTATTATTACTAGCTTAATTTCACAGCAGCATTGACCATAAATGATTTTTTTTTTTTTTTTGAGACAGTGTCACTATGTCGCCCTCAGTAGACTGCCGTAATGTCATAGCTCACAACCTCTAACTCTTGGTTGTAAGTGATTCTCTTTTATTTTCTTTATAATTTTTAGGGGTTTTTTTTGAGACAGAGTCTCACTATCGTCCTTGATAGAGTCCTGTGGCATGATAGCTTACAGCAACCTCCAGCTCTTGGGCTTAGGCGATTCTCTTGCCTTAGCCTCCCGAGTAGCTAGGACTACAGGCACCCACCACAACGCCCGGCTATTTTTTTGTTGCTGTTTGGCTGGAGCTGGGTTTGAACCCACCACCCTCGGTATATGGGGCTGGTGCCCTACTCACTGGGCCACAGGTACCACCCAGTCTTAAGTGATTCTCTTGCCTCAGCCTCCCAAGTAGCTGGGACTACAGGTGCCCGCCACAATGTCCGGCTATTTTGTTGTTGTTGTTATTGCAGTTGTCATTGTTGTTTTAGCAGACCTGCCTGGGGTCAGGTTCAAACCTGCCAGTCAGCCTCCGTGTATGTGGCCGCGCCCTGCCCACTGAGTTATAGGTGCTGCCCAGCATAAATGATTTTCAAGGTACCTGCAACACTGCAGTAAGTAGGAAAATATCTGCTAATACTATCATGGATTATTGTCGACATTTATGACCATAGGAAATACTAAATTTCAGTCAAGGTTAGTGGAAATAAAAATGTACTTCCCTCCCTTTCCAAAAAATGAAAAGAATTCCCCTTTTAAATTTTTTAAAGTAGAAAGAGAGAAAAACATTTTATGTTACAGAATGAAGGAAGGAGGTTAGACAATAAGAGATAGAGATGATCATGAAAGTGAGACTCCTCTGGACTTCAATGCCAAGGAATAAGGTAGACAGGTGGGGCAGGGCCAGAAGCAGGTGCTCTGCTCTCCTGAGTCTCATGCAAAAGGGAGCTGCATTTTGGTTTGATCATCTCAAATCTCGAGGTACTATTATGCTAGGAATTATCTCTCTGTTTCTTGCCCTCTAGCACTTTCGGTTGTCAGCATGACCTCTTCTCTCTGCCTCTGAAACATCTTAGATGCTTGCATTGCACTGGCCTCTGGTCTGAGGACCAGATTCCTGGTAAAGGGAAGGCACAGAGGAACCCATCTCAGGCTCTTCTCCCTACTCTGTCTCAAGACTTTCCACAGGGATAGAATTGAAGCTTTTGTCTCCTCAGCCCAGAGTTTGGGCTTCCTGAAGGAAATTCCAAAAGAAAAACAAAGTTTGGTGCAGATTCAGGTTTCTAAAAGCCTTCGCTGATAGAAGGGGCTGGAAGACAGGCCCAGGTCTTATTATAAAGGGGCAAATTTGGCCTCAATGCTCTTTGGGGGGTCTCTCTTCTGACTCGAATGCTATTATCTCTGGTCTCAAGAGGGTGAGGTATCTTATCTCACCCACAGTGGAGATGTCTCAGTGAAGAGACTGATTTTTCTTTTTTTTCTACAGAGAGGTAGAATCTCTCTCTGTTTCCCAAGTGTCACAGCCTACCTCACAGCAACCTCAACCTCTTGGGTTCAAGTGATCCTCCTGCCTCAGCCTCCTCCAGCTCAGTCCCGCCTGTAGCTGGGACTAGAGGCATCTGACACAATGTGTGGCTAATTTTTACGTTTTTAGTACAGATAGGATCTCAAGCTCAGACTGGTCTTGAACTCCTTAGCTTAAGGGATCCTCTTGCCTCTGCCTCCCAGAATGCTAGGATTAGAAGAGTGAGCCACTGCACCCAACCTTCAAAGGCCATGTTTTAGAAGGAAGGTTCTCAATGGATTTATCACACCTCCCCAGGGGCGGGCAGATATGAGACCAGGTTCAGGGATTCATCCCCTTCTATCTCTTTGCTCATAGCACTCGCCAGTCCTACCAACTGTGCACACAGGCTGGAAATCACCGCTAACAGTGCGAGGTAAGACAGGAAGGAATCCTGTAGCTCCGGGCCTCCGAGCTGTCAGCCAACACCCACCCTACCTGGGAGCCAGAGGCTGCACACCCTGGTGGCTCGAAAGGCTTCGGCCACCTCCCAAGGAATCCCAAATACACAATCTAAACAGCAGCCCCCCTTCGCCAATACTGCAGTCTCCAACCCTCACCTAGAGAGAAATTACGGAGTTTGCAGAATTTCGCAATGTGGAGCTGGGTTTCCCAACCTGTAGAGGCCGCACCCGCGTTTCCCGGGCGGGCAATGCCAGTAAACCCCAGCGAGCCCCGGCCTGCTCGGAATTAACGGGTCTATTTGGGCTCAGAGAAAGGATCCACGTCTCAGGGGGCCCCTCCCCATACAGGCACCTGCTCTCGAGAGCTGCGCGACCCATACCCAGTCTTGGGTGTTGGCCCAGCCAAACCTCTGCGTTTCGGGAACCCTAGTCCCCTCCCTCCCAGAACCCCACGGCGTCAGTTCTGGACCCCACAAGCTTGCAGCGGAGCGGAGGGGAGGCCCCGCCTAGGGAAAGGGAAGAGAGGAGCGCACAAATACAGGAAAACACGCAGTGGGAGGGGAAGTCTCCGGAGGTGCCCGAGGGCGCGGAGCACCGAAAGCGTTGAGTATGGGGGTTTCTCCTGGAAGGGGTCTCAGGTGCCGCCCCGGCAGCGTCCTGCGTAGCGCGGCGGACTCGGCCCGGCCCTTCCCAGCCCTGCACCCAACCCGAATCACCCTCCCCAGCGCTGGGTGCCCCACCACCCACTTCCCTCACGGTCCTCTCACCTGAGACCACTAGTGCCTCGTTGGGCCCCACCGTGTGGCAATTGCCCATGGCGCCGGCAGCACGGAGGGCCCCGGGGACCACACAGACCTAGACCGCAGCAGCGGGTCCGCAGAGCTGGCCGCGCCCAGCCTATCCCGCCACCCCCAGCGCCGCCCGCCCGCGCCCCTCTGTGGTCGCAGCCCCGCCGGAAGTGTGGCGGCGGAGGGCGGGGCCGGCATGTTGAGAGAGGCAGGAGCGAGCGCAGCCCCGGCAGCAAACGCGCTTTATTACGAGTGGCTCGAGATCGCCGGGCCTAGTCCTAAGGCACCCCGGGAGGCTTCTCTGCACTCCTACGGGCCGTCTCAGTAACAATCGCCCAGCCATGATTTACCTCCCAGCACCCCTCTTGCAGCAGTTGGCCGCCAACCCCAGTCAGTCCCTGCTAGAACTAGCTTTGAGACCTTGGGCAAGTCCCTTACCTCTGGAGCCTAATCCTGCCTCCGTAAAATGGGGGTAATTTAACTACCTAGCTAGATGCGTGCAAAGGGCTCCGTTAGGGTAATTCTCAGCGTTGGCAGTGCATGAAACAAATTCCCAGGCCCTGCTACAGAGCTGATCAGAATCAAAGAGGGTGGGGCCTGGAAACCCGAAATTCAAAATCCTGAGAAGCCTGGTGTCTGGCACCTTACCCTCCACCCCTCCATCTGGGGTTACTGTCAGTCTCAGGAAGAAATAATCGCCCATTATTTCTTCAACCAGGAAAAGAGCTGTCCAGAATACAACTTGAGGCCCCAGAAAGTAACCATGGAGGTAAAAATTGCAAATCCCTCAGTGCTCAGGGCATGGTACGTAGCTGCAGTTCTCAAAAGCTACCAAGTACCACGAAAAGCATCCCCAGCCTGAGATTTAGGAGACTTGGGTCTCCGGCTCAGTTTTCACCCAAATTCGTCTGGTCACCTCAGACAAATCTGGTGAGTTCTGAGGGCTGGGGCAAGGTTCAGAAACTGAGGGCTCCTCAGGGTGGGGAGTGCTCGGAGAGCATGGGACCCCTGAATCCTCAGGCTGGGGGTACTCATCAGGTTCAGCATCCTCCTCAGGCCCAAGCCCTGCTAGCCTCTTGCTGGCCTCCCACAGCCGGTGGGCAGCCCGGTCATCTCGGGCAGCTGGGGGCACCTCCTCCACGTGGCAGTTGGCAAAGTATCTCCCACTGAGGGGCTCAATACCCTCCTGTAGAGCGCAGTACAGGGGTGTCTGGGCACCCCCTCTTGGTGCCCGGAGTACCAACCAAGCCAGTGGGCGCAAAATTGGGCGCAGCCATCCAGGAACGTGGCGCAGGAACAACTCTGAGTTCACAGGCCCTGTAGGCAGGAAGAAAGAAAGGAGTTGGAGAGGACGTAGGTGAAGGCCCAGGGTATGAGCAACTAGAACAGAGCGAGGAGGGATGTGAGGGACAGAATCTGGGTCCAGGAAACCAGGGGAGTATTCAGGGACCCCACAAGGTGACTTTACTCACATCCTATGTGAAGCCTCCTCTCTGCATCCAAACTGCTTGTATAATATATCTCTATCTCCCAGCTTTTGGTCATGCTGTTTCCTGCCCAGAATAATTCTCAAGTCCCTCTCCATCTTTTCTTCTAACTTTAGTCCTGTTCCTTTGTTTAACCAGCATTTATTAAGCACCAGTCAGTGTTTTTTTTTTTTTTTTGAGACGGAGCCTCAAGCTATCCCCCAGGGTAGAGTGCCGTGGCATCACAGCTCACAGCAACCTCCAACTCCTGGGCTCAAGCGAGTCTCCTGCCTCAGCCTCCCAAGTAGCTGAGACTACAGGCGCCTGCCACAACGCCTGGCCATTTTTTGGTTGCAGCCATCATTGTTTGGTGGGCCCGGGCTGGGGATTTGAACCCACCACCTTAGGTGTATGTGGATGGCGCCTTAGCCGCTTGAGCCATAGGTGCCAAGCCAGTTGGTGTTTTTGGACATCAGGGATATGGAAGTGTAATAAAGGATTAAGAAAGATTAGTTTCTGATCATTATTATTGTAACTATAATTACTAATGAGTCACAGGCAATGATTACTTAATATGCAGTATGCTAATATGGTATCCTGGTGTAAACCTATTCCCTAAAGGCAAGGATGAGTCTATTCACCAATTTCTGCACTCAGAGTAAAAGCTAAAATGTCTACAGTGGATCTCCAAACCCTGTGTGATCCAACCTATTTCTACAATCTCATTTCTTGCTACTCTCTCCCCTCACTCAGTTCCAGCCATACTAACCTTTCTCAAACTGATTAGGAACTTCTGCCTTGGGGCCTGTGCACTTAGCTGTCTTCTTTTTGGGTGTCCCCCTAGTAAGCCAGCATCTTTCAGGTCACTGTTCAAATGCCATCTTTATAGATAATGTCTCCTTTGACTGCCCTTGATAAAATAATACCTCCTGGCATTCCATATTCCCCCTTACCCTGTTTCTTATTTTCTCATTCTTTTTGCGACAGTGTCATTATATCACCTTCGGTAGAGTGCTGTGGTGTCACACTTACAGCAACCTCAAACTCTTGGTCATAAGCGATTCTCTTGCCTCAGCCTCTCAAGTAGCTGGGATTACAGGTGCCTGCCACAATGCCTGGCTATTTTTTGTTGTTGTTGTAGGTGTCACTGTTGTTTAGCTGGCCCAGGCTGGATTGAGACCCACCAGCCTTGGTGTATGTGGCTGGTGCCGTAACTGCTGTGCTATGGGCGGTTAGCCACCCCCCCCCCCTTACCCTGTTTAATCTTTCCTCATAGCACTTCATAACCACTTATCACTGTATATATTTATTTACTGGCTGTCTCTCTCGCCTCCCAACTAGGATGCAGACTCTATGAGAGTAAGGTCTTTATTTGTGGACTGCCTGATATGTACCCAGTATTGGTAAATGCTTCTTGGATGAGTGAATAATTATTAGCTATCATCATCATCATATTATTATTATTATTTAGTTCAGTCAGTAGAGATGGCTCCAGGGGGTGAGAATCTGGGTCTTATATATTGCCATCTCCCACCCAGAGGTCAGCATCCAAGCTTGCAGTGTGCAAGGAAGAACCTAGAAGACAGCTTGGTTCAAGATCAGTAAGAATAAGTCTCTGCTTGGACTATTCTTCCTTCCTACTGTGAGATTCTATGACTCAATGAGAGGCACCAAGGGAGCGCAGGATGGGAGAGGGATGGGAAAGGGCGATCAAGGACAGCCAGAGAACCAGGCCTCACCTGGATGGGCTGCATAGCAGGTGACGCCAGTGCCCGCAAGCTGGGTGGCGAGCTCCCGGGCAAATAATACATTGGCCAGCTTACTGTCAGCATAAGCCCGCAGTTCCTGCTGCCAGCCCACCACTGGGCGGTCTAGGTGTTTGAAGTCAAGGTGTCCACGCCGGTGGGCAGCTGAGGAGACCACCACCACGCGGCTAGGAGCACAAGTCTTCAAGCGAGGCAGCAGCAGGTGTGTCAGCAGGAAGGGACCAATGTGGTTCACCCGAAGCAGCAGGTTAAAGGTCTCTCGAGTCCGGCCACAGGAACTGATCCCTGGGGCAGAGGCTAGGTGTGAGCAGATGGTCTTGAAGGAACCCTGTGTCCTGGGCATCCCCATCTGTGAGATGCGAATGGGGGCAGCCTTCCCATGAGTCCTCCAGCCCCTGGCCTTTGGCAGGGCCTTGATGGAGGGGGCAGCTACCCCTGGCCATCCACCCCACCCACTGCAGGGCCTGCTGTCCCTCACCAGCATTGTGGATGAGGATGTCCAACCGTGGCTCAGAGCTCAGGAAGGCAGCCGCAAAAGCCCGAACTGAGGCCAAACTGGCCAAGTCCAGGGCCATGAAGATGACCTCATTGTTTCCACTCTCCTGTGGAGCAGCAAGGGCTGGGCTTGTCACCAGGGACCTCTCTCCTCTTCCCTCTCCCCAGGGACCAAATTCTAAGAGTCCATCTACTACTATTACTAAAATCTGCCCCATGCATGAAGTGTAGTGGGTAAATCTAATATCGATTCAAATCCTGACTTTGCCTCTTGCTAGAGGGTAACCTTGAGCAATATACATAATCTCCCTGGGCCTCAGTTCTCACTGTAAAATGGGAAGAATAGTAATAGTATCTATCTCATAGAGCTGTTGAGGATTAAATGAGTTCATATGTGTTAAATACATGCAATAAGCACTGTGCAGGTACTTGCTTTTATCATTATCATGATCCCCTCTCCCCTTTATCACTTACCCAAAAATCTATAACGACTTCTCATTGGTCTCTTTTCACCCACTCCTCCTTCCCCAGTCCAGGCACCACACAGCCACAAAGGAGTTCATTCCAAAAGACAATTATTGTAACAGTCCGGAGCCTGTTCTAACAGTAGAACTCTTTACTGATCTCTGCTGCCAATCCTAAAAATCCCAGCTTCTCAGTGGATTTTTCCGGGCCTCAGAACCTGGCCCTGGCTCAAAGCTTTCAGCCCTTCAATTTGCCCCACCTCGTCATATTTTGTGCTCCAGCCACATTAAACCTTTTCTTAGCTTCTCTCTTGCCTCAGGGCATTTGCATACGGTGTTCCCACTGTTGTTCCTTCCCCCACTGTTCTTCAGGAACTTAATTCCTTCTAGTCCTAAACGTCTTGGAACAGCAATTACTTCCTTCAAGACGCCCCCTCCCCAGCTTGGTTCTGGTCCCCCTTCCCTGTGTGACCGGAGTATTCTGTACACCCTCTCTTCCAGACATTTAACCGAGCCGTACTTTCGGCTCTGAAATTGGATCTCCTGGAGCGCTTTGCTGGCCCCTCTGTGTCGCGGTGAGTCCTCGGCTCACCCTCTCACCCGCCCCCTCCCTCCCCTCCCTCACCTGGCGAAGGTCGAAGGCTGCCGCCTCCCCGCGCTCCCGGCTGCGGCAGGCCAGCACCACGCGCGCTCCCCGGCGCGCCAGTTCCAGCGCCGTCATCTTCCCGATACCGCTGTTGGCGCCTGCGGACGGCGGGCGGGAGCCGAACAGGGCTGAGCCCGGCGGGCCGCAGCCCCAGCCGCCCCGGGCTCCCACCGCCCGCCTGCCTGCCCGCCGGTACTCACCCGTGACCACGGCCGTGCGGCCCCGCAGGTTGCCGATGCAGCCGCACGGCGGGGCCTTCACCAGATTGTAGTAGACAAGCACGTAGGCGCCCAGCAGCAACCCCACGCCCAGCAGCAGCGCCTCCATGCCAGCTGCGCCTCTCGGCTCCCGGCTCCCGGCTCCCGCCCAGGCCCCGCGCCGCCTTGGATCGCCGCCCAGCGGCTGTCAATCCGCCCCGCACAGGCCTGGATAGGCGCCGGGCGCGCCTGGGCCTCCAGACGGCGGGGGCGGACGGGGGTGTGTGTGCGCGGCTTGTGCATGTGGGCCCCGCGAGCGCCCCCTAGGCGAACGCCTGCATCTAGGGGGTGCGTGCCGGTGTGAACACCTTCAAGGTGCGTTGTGTGCTTCCAGACCCTGGGAGCGCCCCCTAGGCAAGTGCCTGTGGGAACTCCTTCTAGGTGTGTGTGAACCTACCAGAACGCTGGGAGTGCCCTCTAGGTTTGTAAGTGCATTTGCAACGTTTGTGTGTGAACGACCTCTAGGTGTCATTCACACCTCTAGGTGTCAGGAGTCCTAAGATCAACCTCAGGTTATGCGCGTGCCTCTGGATTTTTTGTGTGTGCACCGCTGTAAACCCTGTGTAGGTGTTTGTGCCCATTAGCACACATAAGGAGTCCTTCGAAGTGTGTGTGTGCCTCTCTACTCTCGAGCGTGTGTGCTTGAATGAACAGCTCTAAGTTTACTATAGGCGTGAGTATATAGTGGAGTCCCTTCCTTCTGGAAATGCCTGTGTACATGAATACTCCTGTGTCAGAGACTCCACTCTTAGATGCTTTTCTCTCAATGAACAAATCTTTGGATTCCTTATCCTCACATCCAGCCCTTAGCTTCCAGGATTTTTTCCCCGTTCTTCTCATACAGACTAGAGAGGTTACAGTGTGTTCTGAGTGGCACCAGCAAGAAGAAGCTGTCAGGATTCACTCACGGATTCTTCCTATGTCCCTTTGTTTTTGGAAGGAAGCAGGAAGATAATAGAGAGTAAAAACTGTTACTGCTCTTCAGGAAGATTTTGTCTTTGAATGGTTCTCATAGGTGGCAAAAACAGGTAAAGGGTAAAGAAGCTCCATCACTGCCTGAAAAATCCTTGCTACCTGGGAGGCCAGGGCAAGAGACTAGCTTGAGGTCAGGAGTTCAAGACCAGCCTAATGACACTGTTTCTACAGAATGGTCCCAGATATTCCAGATGCTGAGGTCTGAGGATTGCTTGAGCTCAGGAGTTGAAGGTTACAGTAAGCTGCGAATGATAGGGTCACAGCACTCTAGCCTTGGTGACAGAGTCAGATCTTGTCTCAGAGCCCCCCCCAAAAAGCTCCATTAGTCAATGCACTCCATGGAAGCAACAGTGAGGTGGGCAAGACAGCTAGGGAGGTGTGGGTTAAGGGCATTCCTAGCCAGGTCACGTGAGACCTTGCCAAAGTTGTAGTACAACTAATTTGGCACCTGATATTTGGCACTTGAACTATGTCCCACAGTGTGGTTACCCTTGAAAATGCTGAGCAGAGTATATGTTTCTGCTCTTAAGAGAGTTCAGGAAGCTCATCAGGGCAGCAGGAACAAAGTGGTGGTGACGAAAGTATATGGAAAGATGGGAGCCAGAGTCAGAACTCAGACTCCAGAAGTTTCCTTTTAGCTACACTGTGGATAAGGTTGGGTGTGAAATATTCGTTTTCTATCCTCAAGGCAAAATCCTGATACACAAACATGTACATTAGTAGAATAGTGCTGGGATACGAAGAGAGGTGCCCTCTATCTAAGGAGCAAGAGACTGTCCTCAGGAAACCATACAAGAGAAAGTGTCTCACTAATGTTTGGGAGGAGAAAAGGATGGAGTTTGGCTTGAGGTCCCCCAAGCTTTATGATTAAGTAATGCAGTAGACAGGTCAGCAAAGACAGCAGTTGTAGAGAAGCTGCAACTGTAAGTCACATAACCAGAAGTAGCTGGGTCTAGACTGGATTCCACTCTATTAAGATTTCTCTAGAGACGCCCCCCCCCCAGTAGATGCACCCCTGCTCTTCCAATGTCCTCCACACTCCCTTCCCAAACTTCCCTTGGGGACTTTCTGGTGAGACCTGTTCAGAGGGGTCTCCATCTGCTGAACCCAGGCCCAAAGGAGGGCCCCTCTAAGGGTGATGACAGGTAGGACAGACAGGCAGAAAACATAATTTGAAGTATTTTTGTTTTTTTATATACAGAATACAGGAAAGCTTCTGTAAAGTCTAAAACATTACAATTACTATGTACATTGGTACTAGTTGTGGGGGTGGGAAGAGAGGAGGGAGCCAGGGGCAGGAGGAAGAGAAGTGGCAAGAGAACAAAAAAAGGAGACGAAAACAGGTTTACGACAAAAACATTTTTGCTACAATAGACAATTTGAGGAAACGCTCTACCACATGTAGTACTGTACACGGTTTTTAAAAACATTGAAAAAATGTCATCACTAGATGTATTTACACAAAATCCAAGTACACTTTTCCTTATTTGAAATAAAATAGATGGACAGCCAGAAAAAGAATTCATTTCTCATTTGTCCATAATACACAGTAGCTACCTGTAGTGCAACCGCTGCAGAAAGGGAAAATAACTTGGAGGGTGGGAGCCATGGAAGGAGGGTGGGTAGCGATCTTTATATTAAATAAAACAATGATATTGTATAGATTTTGCTGTATGAAAACTGTATTTTTTCTTTTAATATAAAACTATTGTCACTGCCACAAAATAGAACAAGTTTCTGATTATTTTACAACGGCGGGCGAGGGGGAGGGAGCAGAAGGTGGGTGGGGAAGGGTTTTGTGTTGGAGGAAGAGTCCAGACCTCGGTCTTCCCCTCCCTGCCCACGCTGTTCCTCAGCTCGGGTCTGCCGCTTTCCCATGAAATGTCGAGTACAAATATATGTGCAAATGCCCCCTAGAACTTGAGAAAAGAAAAAGGATTTTTAAAAAAGTCAAAAGGTTTTCTTCATGTCATGCAAAGATTGTAGTTGAAGGGTTTCTGGTATAGAAAACACCCGGGCTTAGTTTGTGTACATTTTTGCATTGCAGGAGTCTTGGGTGGGTATATAGGCCAGTGGCAGGTAGCCCCCTGCCCTAGGGAACAGAGTTGGAGCGCAGCACAGGGCCCTGGTGGGGCTTGAGAGAGAGCTTTTCAGCCAAGACTCCATCCTGCAGCAGGCTGGCATCGCCTTTGGGCTGTTTGGTCGCAAACTCAGTGATGCTGAAGACAAACTGCAGGCAGCCCAGCTTGATGTAGCTGCCATGGTGCAGTAAGGCCGTGCCCTCCCAGCCGGCCCCACTGCCCCCAATCAAGCTTGAGCTGCTGGCTTTGCAGTTGCAGGGTCTCCGCTGCGGCCCCTGGGCCTGGGAACTCATCATGGCTGCCTCTTCACTTGGCTCTTCATCCTGTTTCTGGTGCCGGCGGCGCCCTGGGAAAAAGGGGGATGGTCACAGGAGAGGAAGAGTGAGCAGCCAACCCATCTAGGCTGTCTGCCAGGGTTGGGCCCTTATGTCTCCCAGTTCCAACTGCTGCATGACTAGGGGTGGGGGACACTCAGAAAGGGTTGGTGGAGTCTGAAGTCCCCACACAGGTGTGTGCACAAATGCAGGTGCTCAGCACTTGCTTCTCCGCGGCCCACGGGCAAGGAGAGCTTGGCCAATGGAACTAGGAAGGCAAGAGACAGCAGGTCATCGGCAGCAAGTGACAGGGGCCTCGGCTCCAACTTACTGATGACACTCTGCACTTTGGCAACAATACTGCTTGGGGGAGTTGGCGGGGTCTTCTCGGAGAAGTCACATGAATACAGCACATTGTCCACCGTTGTCCCGTGCTCACTGTAGTTTAACAGCTCATAATGTTTGGTATTCTGAGGAGGAGAGGAGATAAGATGTATGGTCTGCTGCACGGGGCCTGAGGCTAAGGGGAGAGAGGACATATGGAGAAAGCTCTACTAGGGAACTCACTTTCTTCCCCAGTCATGGCCTGACCCTGTCCTTTCAGAATGGAGATGGGGACTTGCCTCCGAGGTAAGCCTTCCTTCCCCAGTGCTCATAGCCCCTGCTCTCCCACTGCTCCTTCACCAACCCTCAGAACCGGGTCCTGTTGACATGACACTCACTGGCCTGTGATGATGATGAAACTCACAGGAACATACCCACAGGACTTGGCTTCCTTCTATGCTGGTCCCCTCCCTGCTTTAGGGTGGGGTCCCGCTCCCCTTGCTGTGCCTATGATCAACAGGGGAAATAGCAGCCCTGCTTCTGGGAAGCAAGTAGCCCTGGTAGGCTGCCCTCTGCACCAAGACTATCCTCCAGGAGTGACAGGGAAGGAAGAAAAGGAGAAGGCTCCCACCTCTTACCCCTTTCCCCCAGGGCACTGAACAAAAACCCAGTGTTGGCTCAGCGCCTATAGCTCAAGTGGCTAAGGCGCCAGCCACATACACCAGAGCTGGCAGGTTCAAATCCAGCCCTGGCCTGCCAAACAACAACTACAACCAAAACAAAACAAAAAAATAGCCGGGAGTTGTGGCGGACACCTGTAGTCCCAGCTACTTGGGAGGCTGAGGGAAGAGAATCAATCACTTAAGCCCAGGAGTTGGAGGTTGCTGTGAGCTATGATGCCACATCACTCTACCCAGGGGTACAGCTTGAGACTCTGTCTCAAAAAAACAAACAAACAAAAAAACCCAACTATAACAACAAAAAAACCCAGTGCCTGTGAGAGGCCTCAGGTCGGGAAAGCTCCCTCCCACCCATGTCCACCCCTTACCTCATCGTAGAATATGCAGGCATGTTTCCCGGACACGTAGTTACAGTGACCATAGTTTGTAAGGCACACATCCATGTCAGCTCCTGCAAGGTGGCAGAAGTAGAGGGTAAGGAAGCAGAGAACAGATTGTAAGGTGTGGGGGAGGTGAGGGAGTTAGCTGCCGGGTAGATGCTAGTATGGACCTTAAGGGGCAGGTAGCTTGGAGCCCTCTCCTTGTATTTTTGTACACAAACGGTTGTCTTTTCTAACCCCTTGCTAAACAACAGCTGTCCCTGATGGCTGATCTGCTTTAGAACATGTGGTCACTACCCAGAGGCATGCAGAGAACTACTGAAGAGGATGGGATGGGGTTACTTCCATTTGAACACAACATAGAGGTTCAGGACCTATAAACTGTATCATCTGAAAGAAAGTCTAGACTAAGGGTTAATCTGTCTGTCCTTCTGTGCCAGATATAGGGCCGTCTGTCT